AACGTGCTCAACAACCAGCAGTTCCTGGCCGGCACGGTGGACACGCAGTTCATCGACGAGAACCCAGAGCTGTTCCAGCTGCGGCCGGCTCAGAACCGGGCCCAGAAGCTGCTGCACTACCTCGGTCTGGCTCCGGGTGGCGCTGCCCCCCAGGCCTGCTCCTGGCCCCCCTTCACGCCCACGCACCCGCAGGCTCCTGTTTCATCCCTGTGGCCTCCTTGGGCTGTGGGAGGCCCTGGCTTTGGAGAGGGCGGGGCCCAGGGGGCAGCCCCGCCCCAGCCCCCCCAGCCCTGACCGCCCAGGTCCCTGACCCTCGGCCCTCGGTCCCTGCAGGACACGTGATGGTGAACGGCCCAACCACCCCGATTCCTGTCAAGGCCAGCCCCAGCCCCACGGATCCCATTGTCCCGGCAGTGCCCATAGGTAGGTGAGAGACTCCTGCTAACTGGGGGCACGTGGCCGCCACCCCAGGACAGCGGGTGCTGACGGTCGCCCGCCTAGGCCCGCCCCCGACTGGCTTCAGAGACATCCTGCTGCGGGAGGGTCCTGAGGGCTTCGCCAGAGCCGTGCGCCGTCACCCGGGGCTGCTGCTGATGGACACGACCTTCCGGGACGCCCACCAGTCGCTGCTGGCCACGCGCGTGCGAACCCACGATCTCAAGAAGATCGCCCCCTACGCCGCCCACAACTTCAGCAGGCTCTTCAGCATGGAGAACTGGGGAGGTAGGGCGCCCTCGGGCACCCCTGTGGGCCCGGCAGAGGAGGCGAGAAGCCGGGTGTGAACACTGAAGGGGGGGGGTGCCCGCTGGCCAGGTTGGGGTGGGGCTGGGCGAGGCCCCGGGGCTGGGCCCTCTGGATGGTGGCGGAGGAGACACCAGCCCCTTGGTTATAGCGCAGGATTGGGGTGAGGGCCCAGGAGGGGTACAGATCTGTGGAGGGAGAAGTTTGCGGGGTCCGGTGGAAGGTGGGGGCCCCGGGCACCGAGCAGAGCCCGGGTTTGGGCGCCCCAACTGCAGCGCCCACCTCCCGCCCGCAGGCGCCACCTTCGACGTCGCCATGCGCTTCCTGTACGAGTGCCCCTGGCGGCGGCTCCAGGAGCTGCGGGAGCTCATCCCCAACATCCCCTTCCAGATGCTGCTGCGGGGGGCCAACGCCGTGGGCTACACCAACTACCCCGACAACGTGGTCTTCAAGTGAGCCTGGGGGACCCTGCGCCCCGCACAGGCTGGAACCCAGCTCGGTGGCTGTGCCCAGCGCTGAGCCAGGGCAAGCGGCCGCTGTAAAGCGGGAGCTGGACCGTCCAGGCCCAGGCTGGGGCCCGGGAGGGCGGGCGGCCGCCGGGGGTGCAGGGGGGGGCTGGTTCCAGCCCAGGACGCCTGGGCTCCACCCCCCTTACCCGCCTCTGCCAGGCCCCGCCCCCGGGGCGTGGCTGAGCCCAGGTCGAAGCCCGCTGCCCCGCGCAGGTTCTGCGAGGTGGCCAAGGAGAACGGCATGGACGTCTTCCGGGTCTTCGACTCCCTCAACTACCTGCCCAACCTCCTGCTGGGCATGGAGGCGGTGGGCAGCGCGGGCGGCGTGGTGGAGGCCGCCATCTCCTACACGGGCGACGTGGCCGACCCCAGCCGCACCAAGTACTCCCTGCAGTACTACCTGGACCTGGCGGAGGAGCTGGTGCGCGCCGGCACCCACATCCTGTGCATCAAGGTGCCGGCCCACCTCCGGCCCCACCGCCCCTCCCGGCCCTCGGCCCTCCCGGCCCCCTCACTTCGCTCTCTCCGGCCCCCCTAGGACATGGCCGGGCTGCTGAAGCCCGCGGCCTGCACCATGCTGGTCAGCTCCCTCCGGGACCGCTTCCCTGACCTGCCGCTGCACATCCACACCCACGACACCTCGGGGGCGGGCGTGGCCGCCATGCTGGCCTGTGCCCAGGCTGGGGCGGATGTCGTGGACGTGGCCGCCGACGCCATGTCTGGGATGACGTCGCAGCCCAGCATGGGGGCCCTGGTGGCCTGCACCCGAGGGACGCCCCTGGACACAGGTAGGCCCAGGGTAGCCCACGGCTCCTCCCCTCCAGCCCAGCGGGGTCTGGCCCAGCCCGCCTCCCTCACCCGAGCCTGGCAGGCCCAGCCCGCCGCGGGGCCTGGGGGGCTCGGCCGCCACCCCAGCCCCCTCTGGCCTCTGCAGGGGTGCCTCTGGAGCGAGTGTTTGACTACAGCGAGTACTGGGAGGGGGCCCGGGGGCTGTACTCGGCCTTCGACTGCACGGCCACCATGAAGTCTGGCAACTCGGACGTGTACGAGAACGAGATCCCTGGGGGCCAGTACACCAACCTGCACTTCCAGGCACACAGCATGGGGCTGGGCTCCAAGTTCAAGGAGGTCAAGAAGGCCTACGTGGAGGCCAACCAGATGCTGGGCGACCTCATCAAGGTGAGTGGGCCCCGCGCGCACCTCCGGGCGCCCACCCGCGCCGGGCCGCCTGACCCTCGGCCCGCTCCCCAGGTGACGCCCTCCTCCAAGATCGTGGGAGACCTGGCCCAGTTCATGGTGCAGAACGGGCTGAGCCGGGCGGAGGCCGAGGCCCAGGCGGAGGAGCTGTCCTTCCCGCGCTCCGTGGTGGAGTTCCTGCAGGGCTACATCGGCATCCCGCACGGGGGCTTCCCCGAGCCCTTCCGCTCCAAGGTGGGACGGGCCAGCCCCGCTCAGCGCCGCGGGAGGGGGGCCGGCCGGCTCCCCTCGGCTCGAGCCTCTTCCCGCTTCCCGCCAGGTGCTGAAGGACCTGCCGAGAGTGGAAGGGCGGCCGGGAGCGTCCCTCTCGCCCCTGGACCTGCAGGCCCTGGAGAAGGAGCTGACAGACAGGCACGGGGAGGAGGTGACCCCAGAGGATGTGCTGTCTGCGGCCATGTACCCCGACGTCTTTACCCACTTCAAGGACTTCACTGCCACCTTCGGGCCCCTGGACAGCCTCAACACCCGGCTCTTCCTGCAGGGACCCAAGATCGCGGAGGAGTTTGAGGTCAGTGGCCCGGCACCTCTGGGCCCTGCGCGCAGGGCGCGGCGTCTGCTCGGGGTCACGTGCCCTGGAGAGACCGGGGGACTTGGCCTTTACTAATGAGCTGAAGGAGTGGGAGCCTCGCCTCGGGCTGCGTCAGGGGTTGCTCTGCCCCCAGCCCCGAGCGCCGCAGCCCCGGGCCTGCACCTTCTCCCGGCAGGTGGAGCTGGAGCGGGGCAAGACGCTGCACATCAAGGCCCTCGCCATAAGCGACCTGAACCGGGCTGGCCAGAGGCAGGTCTTCTTCGAGCTCAATGGACAGCTGCGGTCAATTCTGGTTAAGGACACGCAGGCCATGAAGGTACAGCTCCCCAGAGCCACGCGGCGGGGCGGGGGGCCAGGGAGCCTGCGCTCACACCCTCGCCCCTCTGCAGGAGATGCACTTCCACCCCAAGGCCTTGAAGGACGTGAAAGGCCAGATCGGGGCACCCATGCCCGGGAAGGTGATAGACATCAAGGTGGCCGCAGGGGCCAAGGTGGCCAAGGGCCAGCCCCTGTGTGTGCTCAGCGCCATGAAGATGGAGACCGTGGTGACCTCGCCCATGGAGGGCACTGTCTGCAAGATTCATGTGACCAAGGATATGACGCTGGAAGGGGACGACCTCATCCTGGAGATCGAGTGATCGGGCCCTGGACTGGCAGCCTGGCCGTCCCCACCCCAGGCTTCAACAGACACTGCGCTGCCAGGCGGGCCCAGGCCGGCCAGTGCCTGAGGCAGGAAGGCCGTCCCGGAGCGCCCGCCCGCCCCAGCGACCGGAGGGACGCCCCGCAGCGGCCCACCCTCCCCGCGCTGCTGTCCTTCCCGCCGCGGACGGCCGTCCGAGTCTTCATCTCTTGCCAAATAAGGGTCCTCCCTGTGCTGGAGACTGCAGGTGGGGGCGCAGGGGGCAGGTTTCTGGGTCCCACCTCTGGATGGGGAGCCCTGCGGCCCGGGTCCTGAGAACGCAGCTCAATAAAACTGGCTTCCCCCGCCCTCGTGGAGGGTCTGTGACGCCCGCCCCAGCGCCACGCCGCAGGGGGCAGGGCTGCCGCCTGGACTCGCCGTGGGGGAAGGCAGCTCACCCCTTACACGGGACAGCGGCCCGCCAGAGCACCACCCCCCGCACCTGGCAAGGCGAGGCTGTGCTGAGTAGAGGAGGGGGACGCGCAGCTTCGGGAGGGGCAGAGCCCGGGTCTCGCCGCCCCCGGGCCAGCAGCAGGTACATCAACACCCTGGGTGGGCCTGTGCGTGTCTCCTGAGGGCCACAGAGGCCCACTCTCAGCCCTCTGCCTCCTGGACAGCTGCGACGCGGCTCGGGGGGACAGTGTCAGGAGGGGCGACATGGGGCGCCCTCAGGTGGCACGGCCTAGCGGGCGCGGGTCTGGTCAGCCCTGTTTCCTTTGCTTTGAACATCAGCTTCGGGGCACGGACCGGGCATAACTTGTCCAGTGCAAATCACCACAGAAAAGGTTGCTTTAAACGAAGGCCATCCTGAGAGCCAGGGGAGCGAGCAGAGGCCAGCGGCTCTCACAGCCTGCGCCTGCAGCCTCGGCTCCGGCACCTCCCAGCCCGGGCCCGCGGCAGAGGGGGCGCCCCAGCAGCTGGCAGGGGCCTACGTGGGCGCCGCTTCCATTTTAGACCCGTCTCCTCTCGTGACTTAGGCGGACTCAGGTGGTCCTGTGACACCCTCAGTGACCCTCCGGCCCTCTCAGAGTCCGACACAGGCTGGAGGCTCCATGCCCTGGGCAGGCTGGGTGCCGTCCACCTCTGTGAGACTTGGAATGTGGCTCAGGAAGGACCCACAAGCCCGAGACAGCTTGAGCCGCCCCCCTCAAGCCCCCCGTTTCCTACACCAGGGCCAACCAGGCTGGTGCACCCAGAGGTCAGTGTCAGGGTGCCGGCCAGGCGGTGGGCACGCTCCCAAGGCCCACGCGGACTGATTCTCACAGGCCCAGGCGTGTTACCCAAGTTAAATCTCTTTAATGTCCCAATACAAAGTCCTAATGCAAAAAGACAGTGAGAAAACCCTGGGAAACTGGGGGGGGGCCTTTGTAGACTCCACCCCCGAGCAGCTTTCGGAGCAGGGGTGCGGGGGCTCAGAGACGCAGCAGCCCAAGGCGGCCGGGGGGCCGCCCGTCCCCAGCGGCGCCTCACCCTCCTGCCGAGGGCCGCGCCCCGGGAAGTCTGCGCCTTCCTCGTGGTCCCTGCGATTCAACTGGCTCTGGCTTCCATCCCCTACAAAAATTCCTGAGATCTCGGGGGCCCCAGCCAAGCTCGTCCCCCGCAGTCCCCCTCGCTGGGGGGGGCCGGGCAGCCCGTGAGAGTCCGTAGGAGTACGCAGGAGAGCGGGGGTCAGGAGCACAGAGGGGCCTCTGCGTCTCCCGCCCGCTCCAAGAGCACACAGAGCGGGAGGCTGCCGTAGAGCTTGGGGTCCGTGAGGGGCTGCAGCAGGAGCAGGAAGAGTCCCACGCCCAGGGCGTAGCCTGCCAGCAGCGGCCGCCTCTGCGGATGCTCCAGGGCCGCGCACACCGCGGGGAAGCCCATGTAATTGCAGAAGGAGTGACAGAGAACCGGCCCGATCAGGTGTCCTGGGAAGGGAGACGCCCCGCTCAGCGCGGTCCCACTACCTCCCTGGGCGCTTCTGGGCTAACAGCTCTCAGCCCCCCGCCCCTGGCCGGGGCCCCCTGCTCCTCCGCCCACACACCGGCCTCTGCCTCCAGCCACTCGACTTCACCAGGCCTCGGGCCCAGTTCCCCCTACCTCGGGCTGGTGGCAGGAGGACTCGCTGCCCTAGAGCACACAGTATCCCCGTTCTCCCGCCCACGCCTGTGGGCCCGAGCTCCCAGGACCCCGCGAGAGGCTGAGGACCAACCTGTGCGGATGAAGAGGAAGGCAGTGTAGGCACCGAAGACGGCTGTGTAGGAGAACTGGAACGCTGCAGACGGGAGGCCGCGAGTGACCACAGCTGCGCGCCCTTCCTGCCCCGGCACTGCACACCCGTCCGCGGGGACATCCCCTTCCCCTGGGGGCGCTGGCCACCTGCCCTGGCACCTATGGCTGTCCTCTGCACCCCAATGCCCACGGGTAGAGGCCCCTCTAGTACTGTAGCCCTCTGTTCCCAAGTCTTCCTCAAGAGCAGCTACGAAGGACACCCCCACACCCCACCCAGGACTGCCCCCGGCAAGCGCTTCAGGACTCACCTGCAGACAAGAAGATACTCCCTACGCTGTTCTGGCGGAAACGAAGCTGTTCAAAAATGTGGTGGAAATGGGCTAGGAGGGAAGGAGACCCATGTCACTACCCCTGGCTTGCCCGGCAGCCTTGCCCTTGCTCGACCCCCTCTTCGGCTGTCATGCAGAAAACACGCACTGGGATCGGGCTGGGAAGACTCACCAACTCCAAAGAAGAGCGGGCAGGTGAACACGGCGGGTCCCAGGCCCGTGCACGGAGCTAACATGGGCAGCATGCAGGCCCGGAACACCAGCTCCTCTGTCAGGGGTGCGATCACTTGGTTCCGCAGCCAGCGCATGTCTGTGAGGCAGCGCGCCCAGGAGCGAGGGGCTAGTGAGGGAATTCAGGACAAGCAGTGAGCGACTAGTGAGCGGACAGCGACCAGGGGCCCTCAGGGACCCTCTCCTACGACCTCGCCTTGGCCAGATTCAGATTAGGCATTTAGATTCCTGAGAACAGTTAAGGGTTGAGCTCTATTAGCCCTGCTAAAACGTCTCAAAGGGAAAGAAAGGAAAAGCATTAGAGGCGCTGAGCAGGGTATCTTGCTGGTAAACTGGAAACATCAAAATCTCCCAAAGATCAACTCTGGCATGGGGGTATCAGAGGAAGCAAGCGACGGTGCTCTCGACTCGCTTACACTGAGACAAGTTACCACCACTGCTGGGGTCCTAAGGGCCTCCTTGGACACCAGGAACCAGCTCTCAGCGACCAGCCTCCAAGTGATCCTATTTTACTGGTGAGGACACAGGACATCTCATGCAGGCCCCCAGTCCAGGCCCCACCTTCACCCTCTTGCCAGTGTCCTGGATTGCCTGTACCCACTTTCTACCTCAGCCCTGAAGACGCACCTAAAACCACCTTCAACCCATCTGCCAGGTCACAGGAGCAATCCATAGAGAGCTGCATCAGTGGGCCCAGGAAAAGGATCTGGGAGGGAGGGCAGAAAAACAGGAAGATCGAAGGAAAGGCGACGAAGCCCGGTGCCTCTGCCCAACAAGGCCCGTTACACTCCAGGCTCCTGGTCTCGCACCGCCCTTCCTACCCACACACCGAAGGGGGCCTGAGCCATCTCACAAGCCCGCCGTCCATCCGTCAAACACTGGACGCAACCAGGACCAGGAAAAGGTGAGGGCAAGGCCGCCACCTAATCACAAACCGCAAGGACGGACGAAGAAGGCAGCAGCACTCACCATGGTCAGCAGCAGGGGCAGCAGTGCGGCCGGGAAAATGCCCTCCAGCCTGAAGCCCATCAGGGAGAGTAGGGATGTGCCTGGCTGAGCCACAGGAAAGGGGGCATCAGTCTTGTTCCCTACCCCAAGGGCCCCCGAGGCTTCTC